TCTCTCTCTCTCTCTCTCTCTCCCCCCCTACCCCTACCACCCCCTACTTTTCTGTCTTTAAGCCAGACAATCGACTCGCAATCTGCCCCCCCCCCAACACCCCTCGTCCTCCGCCTTCGCTGGCATTTTTTCTGTCCCCCCCCAACCCCCCTTTCCTCCTTTTTTAAGGGGAAAAAAAGAGAGAGAGAAACTGCTGCAAAGCTGATCTGAAAGCAAAGCAAACAAACTTTAAAAATAAAGGGGGAACAGGAAGTTTGGAAACGGTGTCCAATAGATATGGCAATGGTAGTTGGTGCGTGGCGAGACCCCCAGGACGATGTACCCGGAGCTCAGGGAACTCAACCTGCTCAAGCCCCTCCAGTGCAAGGACCACCAGCTGGGGCCCCTCACACACCACAAACCCCGGGACAAGGCGGGCCCCCCAGCACTCCAGCCCAGACCAACCAGCCAAGCCAGCAGAGCCAAGGAGGAGACAAGCAGCAGCAGCAGCAGCACATTGAATGTGTGGTTTGTGGGGACAAGTCTAGTGGCAAACATTATGGCCAATTTACCTGCGAGGGTTGCAAGAGTTTCTTCAAGCGGAGTGTCAGACGGAACCTGAGCTATACTTGTCGTGCCAACAGGAACTGTCCCATTGACCAACACCACCGCAATCAGTGTCAGTACTGCCGGCTCAAAAAATGCCTCAAAGTTGGCATGAGACGGGAAGGTATTGGGATTTCATTTGTTTTCCAATTTTCAGTCACTGCATTTTGCTTTTCTGGTTTTCTTTTCTCCCCTTCAAACAAATCCGTTTTTTTTTAAAGGGAAAAAAAAAGCCAAATCAACAATAAACAGCGAGTGAGATAAACTTTCCCTTAATTCAGAAAGAGATGTTGAGGGGAGGGGGACTTGCCTGCTTTCTCCTGCCCTCCTCATTGATGTGTGGGATTTGGCTGATGGAGGTTCATTGGAAGTGGCTATTTTAGGTTCAGCTGTTTAAGGAGGGAGATGATTATTCTGAGGCGTGGTTACTTTTTTAATGTTTCCTCCTGCATGTTCAGCATTACCCCCAAATCGTGCGTGTGTGAATTTATAGATAGATAGATGAATACCTACCCCCATCACCCACCCTTACACAGGAGGTTCGAATTACTGTAGCAATGTAACTCGCATTACTGCAGGGTTCTTCTGCATTCCACTATGGATTCTCAGTCTGATTTTTTAAAAATAAACCCGTCCTTTTAGTATTGTAATGCTCTCCCCCACCCCCCAGGAGAGACAGCGAGAATGTGGTAAAAGGGACAGGAGATGGAAGAAAGAAAGAAGTAGCTGAGGGGGGTTTGATCCGTGCAAATCGAGTCTTTGTGATATAAAATTAGACGAGAAATCTGAGCCTCCAGTTTTGCAATGGCGTGTTCTGTGTCTGGACGCTGCTATGTAGGTTAAGGGTTAGGGGGGCTTTGGACTGCCAGGCTTGTCTTTGTGTGTCTGCAAGAGTCACTAACCTTGTTATCTGCTAAATAACAAATCGAAGCCGCGCACATTTCAGCCACTCTCCCTTCTTTCTCCATCTCTGGCTATTATTCCCTTTCCCTCTCCTTTTCTCTCGCTGTCACCATGTAAATTTATGAACAAAATGAAAGGCCCACTTTCCACGAGCAGCTGATAAAGGTGCTTTTAAATAATAACCCGCGCCCGTCGCATGGCTGTATCTACCCGTCTCTGTTGCAGGGGGATTTTACCTTTTTAAAGGATTGTTGAATAGTCAATAAATGCTGTCTGGGACGAGCACTTTGTGTTTTGAAAGGTGTCTGCACCCTCCCCGCCCTGCAGCCCTAAATCAATAAGCAATATCAGCTGTAATGAAGAGGAATCCCCCCCCCCTCCACACACACACACACACACACATACACACAGACGTTCGGTACATATGAGGGGGCAGGGGGGGGTGAATTCTTGTGTGTTTAGGAACTGAGGATCCGTAGTGTCCTTAAAGCAGTTCAGAGCAGCAGCCTTGAGGCATGTACAGAGCCTTGTTTAGCTTTGATTGCTGCTTTAATCAGGAACTGCAGAGCCCTAAACCAGACCCAGGCTGAACTCTGTCCGGGAAATGCATGTCCCCCCGAAGATGCCTTTACCCAGGGTCACACACAAAGCAGAACTTGATTGGAAAAGGATCGTAGCAATTCAGGTATTAATTGCTGTAGTTTCTTCTTTATTTACTGCAGCCGTCCAGAGGGGCAGAATGCCACCCACACAGCCAACTCATGGTCAGTTCGCCTTGACAAATGGGGACCCTCTCAACTGCCATTCCTACCTATCCGGATATATCTCCCTTCTTCTGCGAGCAGAACCTTACCCAACCTCCCGCTTTGGCAGTCAATGCATGCAACCCAACAACATCATGGGCATCGAGAACATTTGTGAACTGGCAGCCAGGATGCTCTTCAGTGCGGTGGAGTGGGCCAGGAATATCCCCTTCTTCCCAGACCTCCAGATCACAGACCAGGTGGCCCTCCTCAGGCTGACCTGGAGCGAGTTATTTGTGCTCAACGCTGCCCAATGCTCCATGCCCCTCCACGTAGCTCCTCTCCTGGCCGCTGCTGGCCTCCACGCTTCGCCGATGTCTGCTGACCGAGTGGTCGCCTTTATGGACCACATACGAATCTTCCAAGAGCAAGTAGAAAAACTGAAAGCATTGCATGTCGACTCTGCAGAATATAGCTGTTTAAAGGCCATAGTCCTCTTCACCTCAGGTAGGCAGCATTTATTTGCACTCTTCCCTCCTCCCATCCCTTCCCTTCCCCTCCCCAGCCGCCCCTTTGAAATCGGTTCACTCTGGCAAAGTGTAAGACGCTGGAAACCCCACCAGAATCATTGCTACATGTGTCCTTTTAGAAAAATGGGATGTGTTTCTCCAAGGAAGGCCTGGCCTATAAGCACCCTTACAGGGAGCCTTCAAATAGTTTTAACAATGATCGGGGGCGGGGGGGGGGAACCTTTGAGCACCAATAAGGCATGTGAGCCTCTGCCTTCCCTAGTGAAAATATTTGATTTAACCGTATAGCTCTGGCATTTAACGACACCAATCCGAACAGCAGCACGAGCTGTCTGATGTTGTTAAATGCAAGTCTTCCCATCCCTGAAACCACTTTAAAAAAAGAAGGATCATTTTATGGGCAACCGCGAAACAACAACAACAACAACAACAAAAGCAGTCCTGCGAGATTAAAAAGTGAATTAAAAAAAAGTTAAGCATGCAAAGCTGAATTTAAAATACCTTCGTTTCTATCCCGTAAAATAAAATAAATCAGATTTCCCAAAGAGCTGCCCCTGAGTTAAATAGAATGTGGCAATGAGCAGTTCTGTATCATTTGATCTAAGGGGAAAAGTTTGCAGTTAGACCCAGCAGGAGTTGTAGGGTCCAAAGTAAGTAGCGGTTTGTAAAAGATAATTCTCCAGTACATACATAGTAATAATATGAAAAGTAACAGGAGAGGATTCTTAGCTGGGGCTTAAAAATTTAATTCGATGGTTACACAGCTATGCCTCTCTCTGGAAGGAAATAATCAAAGCAGTAAGGTGTTTCTTAGATAATTAAAAGTAGAAAATACGTGCCAACTTTTTCAGCATATAAACAGTATATGAGTTATAAAACAATAATTGAATGCATTGTGAAATCTAATTAACTTGCACCGTAGTCTAACCTGTGTGAGTAATAGACTTGATTTTAACTCTGGAGGCTATATATATGTGTATATATATATGTATATATATATATTTAAATATATGCTTTCTAATTTGTGCACTGCGTTTGTCGAGGCTGCTAACTTTAAGGCGGCATCCGGTGACACACTGTATTGGACCTCTAGAAGTTTTGGATTAAGGTGGTTTTGTTTTCTTAAATGATTTCTTTTGTAACTAATTTGAAAGCTTGGGAAAGTGGCCACGTGATAAACATATGAATGGAAGCAGGACTTGTAAAATAATTACTCATCGGAGTTTTTTAAAGCCTGATATCAGGAAACAGAAAAAAAAATGTAGTTTATGTGGAGTGGGGGGAGGAGAACTCACAATCCATTCCTTGTTGTGTTAAAGGGGGTCTGGGGAACCAAGTCATTTTCTGGACTTTGTCCAGGTTCTGGGTCGTGACCTAAACTTCCTTTTATATATTATTGCTTTACACGTAAAACTTTTTTTTTTCAAATTACTCGTGGTAAAGTCCTAAGGTGATCAATTAGCAGGGAGCATCTAGCCCTAGGAAAAGCAGAATCTACCGTTTGTTTGTGGGATGCTTATTTTATTTCCCTGTCATTTTTCAAGGATGCATTTTATCCCTCGCTCAAATTTTCATCTAGGATTTTCCCCCACCCCCCAGCACACACACTTCCCCAACACAACCCTGATGAGTTTATTTCAAATCCTGGATTTCTAAAGAGCACTTTTTTAGCCTTTCAAGAAAACAATCGTCCGACACTGTCGTAACTGTTAAATTTATTACTATTTGCAAAATGTGAGGCCTGGCATGCAAATTGCCTCCCAACTAGATAAAGGTTTCTGTTATCTGATTTTGTGGAAATACACACATGCAAATATAAGGTTATGCATGCAGCTTCTCAGGCGCCCCAATAACGCTCAATGATGTAAAACACACACACATAGATGCATATGATGTTTGCTTTTTTATTCCCCCCCCCTTTTTTTTCTTTATTTAAAATCTGGGTCCTAATGACTCGCAGAATATGCATGTGTTAGCCTAAGAAGCCACAGAGAGGTCAGGTCACAACCTGTGCTCTTTCAGTACAGACGTCTCTGATTTAAAGGGAACTGATTGTATTTTAGCGTATCAGAAAAATGTCCAGACCATATCAGGGAGTTTTCGTCTTGTAGAGGATTTGGGTTTAAAAGAAAAAAAAAGAAAAAGTGAGAAAAAGAAAAAGAAGTGGGAGGGGGGGAGAGACAGCTCAAATGAACAGAGAGATCACAGTTTGCATGGCTGCCTCTGAATAGGCTAAACTGACAAGATCAGTTTTAAAGGGCCACTTAAATCAGTTTCAAAGACTGAAGAAAAACGCGTTGTCTTCTTTGGGGGAGAATCTATTGCTGGAACCGGGGCGCCATTATTCTTTGCTGGGCCAGTTTTATTATTAATTATTAATAATTATTATTTATTATTATTATTATTCCTTCTAGCCATATGATGAGACTCTTCACAATTATTTTCCGAGTGGGAAAAATAGTGGCTTCTCCCCCGCATGCTTTTCAACCTTTGCAAATAATAATAATAATAATTAATAATAAAATGACACTTTCCCAGCATCTCAGTATTAACGCCTAGGTCAGTAGTGCAATTAAACCCTTAGATCTTGAAGCTGGGTTTGATTCTAGAGTAGACCCTTCCGAAGGGTGGAATATATATATATATATATTCACTTTTTGCTAAAAACATGCTTAGCTCTGAGAGCGACATGATCAACCACTATCTACGCCTAATTTTACCAGTTTTTTAAAACAATCTTCTTTAAACTGATTGTTTTCTTTCTTTCTTTCTTTTTTTAACTTTCTTCTAGATGCCTGTGGTCTCTCTGATGTAGCCCATGTTGAAAGTTTACAGGAGAAGTCACAGTGTGCTTTGGAAGAATATGTTAGGAGCCAGTACCCCAACCAACCAACGCGATTCGGGAAGTTATTACTACGTCTTCCCTCACTGCGCACTGTCTCATCTTCTGTCATAGAGCAATTGTTTTTCGTCCGTTTGGTAGGTAAAACCCCAATAGAAACCCTAATCAGGGATATGTTACTGTCTGGCAGCAGTTTTAACTGGCCTTATATGTCCATTCAATAAAATATTGGAGAAAAAAATTAAAATATATATATTGAGAAGGGAGATGAAAGAGAGGGAAAGGAAAGCAAATGACATTTGGGTTCTGGTGGTTGCTTATATTTCCTTCTGCTAAGGATGTAAAAGGATGTTACAAGTTTGCTAAAAGAAGACAGGAAAAAAATAATGGACTGTGAATTAAAAAAAAAAGACTCTCAAATGAACTTTTACAGAATGCATTAAAAACTCCCGTGTCATTAAGAGAAAAAAACTTGCTACTTATCATTTCTTTTGTTTAAAAAATAAAGGGAAAAGAAAAGTAAAAGAAAAAAGAAAGAAGGAAGGAAATACATTAGGGTGGGTTTTTCTTTTTTCTTTTCTTTTTTTTCTTTTATGGGGTAAACTTTTTAAAGAAAAATATCTCGCTGAAAGTGCTTTTAAAAGAAATTTGGAGAAAATTAGCAATGGAAAAAAGTAAGTCTTTTTTTTCCAAATTATTAATTGTCCTATGTGTCTATGTACCTATAGTTGTTCTTTTTTGTATTTTTCTGGTTTCAAACCAGTTTATTCTGTGGTTCTATAATAATTTTTGATATAATCTTGGCTTCTTTAAAAAAATGTGTATCCTTAAAATATATGTTCTGAAAGAATTAAAACTGAGTCCACGAAAGTATCATAGGAAGAAAGGAAAAGAAAAGGAAAAAACCCCTCAACAACACAATGATGGAAGCGCACTTAGAGGTGGTGACCCAAAATTTAGCTTGAAGCTGAGAGAGAGAGCTATAATTATATAGACCCGAATGAACCACATGTCACTTAACTACCCCAAAAACTAGGTTTTTGATATTTTCAGACAGAAAATGAACTGTGGGGATTTATTGTAGGTAGAATGAATTGTGTCCAAGACACATTATGGTTTTGATTAAAAAAACAAAAACAAAAAACTAAAAACAAAAACAAAAAAACAAAAAAAAAAACAAAGTGAACTTTTGTAATTTGGATTGGGTTCCACATAGTTCTTCATGAATTGTTATTAAACTCCTCTATCTGTTTGTATATTTGCAAGCCCTTTGTATTATAATAATTGTTGATATTTTCCCTTTTTAAAAAAAATATCATTGAAATCAGCATGACAAAATAACACTGTTGGCACTTATAGATAACGTGATTGATTCAGTATCTTAGAGTTTACAGTTTTGTGTTTAAAAAAAACTGAAGGTTTTTTTTTAAGTGCAACATTTCTGTATACTGTAAAAGTTATAATAACTGAACTGTTTGGTCGAGTCTTTGTGTGTTATATTCCAAGGAAAATTGAAAGTATTCAGAAATTAAAATATTATTTGATATCTGAAACTTGTTTGGCTGTCATAAATGTCTTTCAGAAACCACATTACTTCTCTATAGTTTGTAGTCCTATAAATCCATAGGCAATTGATTTGTTTACTTATCACAATAAGTTTGTAGCAGACTTATAGTAGTGTATTTACCTGTTTAATTCGGGAGTGGGGTTGGGGGACTTAAATTCATGGTTTATCTTTGGTTTAGGAAGTACTATATTGAAATGGTAAACCATTACCCCCCCCCCATTCATCTAATCCTCCTGTTAATTAAAAATGGATTTTCTAGAGAAGGCCCTTATTTTTGTCACACTTAAGTGCCTGCATAGGAAAGGTATTGTTGTGAAAAAGTATTAGAAATCTGAAGATCAGTATCTATTTTATGATCAGAATGGGAGGAAAAATCTTTTGTAAATTTCTGACATACACGCACAAGATCACTGGAGCAAGGTAATAGCAGTATTGTAAATACAGGTCAGTTGTTTGCAATGAGTTTTCTTTAAGCATGTGTGATTTTTTATAATACTCTGTAACTGCCATCTATCGTTGTCATTGAGAGGTCTTCAGATGGAGTGACTTAGCTTGTAGGACTGAGGAGACTGTTTTTAATGTATATTTAATAGCAAGTGGATTAAAAAAAATTGGCCAGTGAAAGCTTGACCAGAGGTCGTCAACATATTTTACATTTGGGATACGTGAATGTATGTGTACCTCTGCTTACACACATACATCTGCAGGGCCCTATATTGGAATACTCGCGCCGGCAAAGGTCCCATTCAGATCAGTGGGAGTTTTATCTGCGTAAGTGCTGCAGGATGGGATACACAATTTGTGTATTTAATACTTCCTATCCCTTGTCATCGCAAATACAATTTGAAGGAAGGAAAGACACGAAGCAGGGTGCTCTGATTTTGAAAGCGGTTGCTTTCTTTTGTGTGTGTGTGTGCGTGTGTGTGTGTGTCCCGTCCCCCACCTATGGTCTATAGCAGATGCTTTGTATATGAAAGCTTGCAATTTTGTCCTTGTGTGAGGCTTCCCACTCCCTCTACCACAAGTTACTACACCATGTTGTGGTTTCAAAAAAAAAAAAGCGAGAGAGACAATTCTGTAAAGTCGATTAAACCCTGATCTTCCTTCCAGTTAGACCCATCTGTGGAGAGGGGGAGCGGGGAAAAATTATATATAGAATTGTGAATTTGAGCAGTTTTACACCTGAACCACGGCTGATTATATATAAATATATAAATTGTGGGTGTGTGCGTGTGTTACTGAAGGGGATTGCTGACCTCTAGATTTAGCTTTTTCTATTGCAAGTGCTCTACATGTGAGTGAGTGTGTGTGAAGTTTTTATTCCAGCTAAGACCACGGATCTTTACTTGTTTGTTTTGTGTTAGTTTATTGTAAGCAACCATTTGCTGTACATTGTTATTAGCATTAAATTATAATTTATGATTTTAAATCAAAAGACATTCCCTGTTTTTTTTTAATGTTTGAAAGCCTGTAAGCTCTATATAGAGATCTATGTTTCTGCAGCTAGCTTTGGTTCACAAAGAATAAGAGTAAACGGAAAATGCACCAGGGTTGAACAAAAAACCCCATGTATATATGTTTGGAAAGCTCAGAGGAGGATTTGTTTAGGGACTTGCATTAGGTTTAAGTTTATAGCATTTAAAGAAAGTTTTTCTTTTCATGCTGAGTTAGAACAAAAGACCTATCCAACGACTGAGTTGGACAAAAGAGGAGGGCTGAGAATGAGAGGCTTGTGCTATGTGAAATTGACGAGATCTTAAAAAAAAAACTGCTAAACATGGCGACTCTTTCCTCTTAAGTGTCTATTCCCTCCCCCCCCCCCCTTTGCGGGGTTTTTATCTGATCTGAGTTCGCTATTTCTCCCACCTCCACCAGTGCTTGGGATGGAAGGGAAACAAACAGCCCAACGCGAACCACAACAATAGTAAAAGCAAAGAGGCGATCGCTGCTTTTAAGACACTTTTTTTTAAAACGTGTCTCGAGAAGGACTTTCCCCCCCCCTCCCTACCCCCTACCTCCAAACCTTTCCCAGTTAGCTCCACTCCCCATGTCTGGGCAGGGGGAGGTTTATCTCTAAAGTTAACACAAAGCGGTTTAAAGGACAGACATTGAGGATCGTACCAGACCGAGCGGGGGGCTTGCACTTTAGTTGAAAACGCTGGCTGCAAAGTGCTCTGCACCGCTGGCGCGGCGCATAATTCCACATTCACCCTCCCCACAGAGCGCGGGGGTACCGGTTCCTCTAAGGCTGCGGGCCCTGGATGTGCGCGCTAAGTGGCATTTTGGGGAGTGTTTGGGAGGGGAGATGAAGCGTGTGGAAGTATGCCTTTAAGCTTGCTTTTGACTTGGTGTCCTATTCGCTCAGCCAACATGGCGTCTCCCAGTAGTGCAATGCAAGCGCCTGGGCTGAGCTACTCAGCAAAGCCAGCGCTTTAGTAATAGGAAACACATTGGGTGCAAAAAATAAAAGAGGCAGCAAGAAAACAAAAGGCAAAGCGAAGGGCCGTTCCATCTGCAACCAGAAAACCGCCCTGAAAAACTCCCCAGCGAAGCAAGTAAATGCAGGTCCGAACTGATTCTGTAATTAAACAAGCAGGGATCTAATCAGAGAAAACATTAACAACGTCCCTCTCCAGCCATCCCCCCCTCCCCATACAGTGGATTTGAATGCACGCTTTTTTCCCCTCCCTCCCCTTCTAACGAACAGGTTTGAAAGCCGGTATCAGAAACCGATCTCTCTGCCTGGATCGTGTAGTGAAAATGTGTGTGTGTGTGTGTGTGTGTTCGGGGAGGTGCAGAATAATTTATAAAATTAAAAAAAAGAAAGAAAGAAACCCAGCACCAAAGACAGTCCCCTATCAATGCTCATTCATACAGGAACTGTGTTTGGTATTTTCATGTGCTGTAGGTCGTAGCACATTTGCATACCCTGGCGTTTAGTGAAGGAGTTAAAAGAGATCCTTTAGTATAGGTGGGGTCAGAGCATTAGAAGACTTCTAGCCAGACACGTGTAGGTAAATGTATACATCTGCAGAGAGATCTTCCATCCAGAGATGGTATACAGGCTGAATATAAATTACCTGTGGAAGAATCTCTCCCAAACAAGCTTTTGCTCTTCTTCAGCTCAATGGCCATTGAAATAAAATAAGATCTTTTCAGGGTGTTATATCAGGGCTTGTTCTTCATAGAGAAAGGGGTTCTCGGGAAGGTTCATTTGAAAAAAAAAATATGTCAAGACCCTTCATAACCCGTGTCATATGCCACTGACAGCAAGCAGGATTTAAAAATATACATGGATTTTTTTTTTAATTCAAACTTTATTGGGTCCTGCGAATCATCCTTTGCTTCACTTCGCTTTGTACAGGGGCAAGAGAGACTCGGAGAAATTCAGGCCTGGTCATGATTTATTGAAGTTGGGTTTAAAAAACGTGCTTCAGATGATTTTTCCCATTTTCTCAGATTTCAAAGGCTCCCCGCAGTGCGGCTGCCTAATTAATGGTGAAATTCAGCTAAATCTAATTATGCAGTAATTTTAAAGCAGTTAGTCCTGGGCGTTGGTTTGTAATAGGACCCTAGGTTTTTTTTTTTTTTTTTTTTTTTAAGTTTTTTGCTTAATGTGTTGGTTTAGGGAGGATGGGGGAGCAGCCTTTTGTGTAGCGCAGATATGCAAAAAAACCCAACAACAACAACAACAAAAATAGGTAGCGGGGGAAAGGGAGAAACGTGCTTTTAAATCGTAGGCGACAGGGGGATTGAATAAGAAGCACCAGGAAAAGTGTCAATAACACACTAGTTAATAGGTGACCATAAACGTATTTTTGGCCTATGGATTTCCAAGTCCCAGCTATTTTGGATGCTACCGTCAATGTAAATACAGGGACAACAAAATCTCTTTCTATTTCTCCCATTGAACATCTATTGTCATTAAAGCAAGAGGCTTGTGCTCCCGAAGTTATAAATCTTATCGTCCTTTTGATAACGCACTTGTAATCAGTTAGCATCGCATTCAAACCCAATTGTAAAACTGCCCGATTTAATATGTCATACGTGCCATTAAAACTTTGTGGGTTTTTTCCCCTCTGCCCCCCCTCCCCCCCCCCCCA